TTGTTGTTGTTGAACACTGGCAATTCCAGCTCCAGGTGTTTTCTCTCTTCTCTGAACTTTTTAATAAATTGAGGTATAACTGATATGTGTAAAGTGCAAAACTATAAAGTGTGCAGCTCTATGAACATTTGCATACGTGTACATCCATGTAACACCACCCAGATCAAGATAGAGGGCATTGCCAACACTCCAGAAGGTGGTTTCCTCCTTCTTCCCTAGCAGTAACACCACCCAGGAGTAACTGCTGCAGGGGAAGAAACATAATTTCCTTTCTACCTTCTCAGGTTCTTGCCTGAACTCCCCTGTAATAAAAGATTAACAGGAGAAAACCAAACAGACGTTTAATAACACAAATACCTCCTGTAAACATGGGAGAGATCCAGGGATATTAACTCCCTAAAACAGCCCAAGCCACCTCCAGCTAAAGACAAAAGAAGATGTGTGTGTGGGGGTGGGTGGGGGGGAGTTGGGGGAGCAGTTATGCAAGGTAGTTTTGTGGATTTAAGTCCCTGTCTACTACATTAATAAGGGTTTCTAGCGTTTTAGTCATCCTTCTCTTCCTGGTCCAGAGAGGGAGACATCCTTACAGAAGGAGATTACCCTGATAAATGTAAATGTTTCTTACAAAAAGTTAACTTATACTTGGTTTTCAGGGCTTTTCCTGTGTCTGCTGTTTCTTTAAAAGAAAAAGCAGCCTAAAATAATCCTTATGCCAAAGAGGCATATTTTGGGGTAAGAAATTCTGCCCCCTTCACAGCCATACTGACTTTTCTCCCCAGAGATGAGTTTTGCAGCTCACTTGATACATGCAAGATTTGCTCTTGTGGCCGCAGCTCTTATCGGCTAGGCTTGTATTAATATTTATACCTTCCTCAAGTATTGCTATGCAACCTTCCCTGTTTGTGAATCCTGTCTCCCTAGCCGGATTTAAAACTTCTTGAAGGCAGAGATTGCCCACATGTCTAGCATACGAGTATTCCTATGCCCATGATAGAGGCTCAGTAAATATTTGTGGAATGAATGCTGGTGTAGAATGATTGAGGGGGGGGGGGAAAGAAGCAGTAAGCAGATAGATCAAGACAAAGGCTTCTGTCTTCATTCTCCTCCATACACATGCAGCTGATTTTTACTGATAACGTTTGATATAATATCAGGATTGTGTATTGTTTTTTGCTTGTGGGTGATCATGCATGCATTTGACTTTCAGGTTAGATTGTGGGTAGAGGGACAGGAGAATATAAAATGCAGGAAGAGAAAAGGTTAGATGGCCAAGTCAAAGAGCAAGCTTGCTCTGGCCCATGCTGCTGAACCCCAAATTCTAGTCCTTACTCTGTCACTAACGTGTGTGATCTTAGTCAAGTCACTGCACCTCTCTGAGCCTGTTTGTCTGTGATAATTTCTGAACCTTTTGCAGTCCAAAGGCGGTCAGCAGAGCTCATAGCTAGGAAGGTACTTTGGACAAAAAAATTAAGGTATTGTCACAACCGGCAAATAAGTGGCTCATCACCAAGCCAGGTATATCAGTTGTCTGCTTTAAAATTCAAACAAGACTTGGATTAAAAGGTGAGAAGGCTGAATTCCTAGAATCATAAAATATCAGAGCCGGCAGGTATATTAGAAACTATTCTAGTCCAACCCCCTCATTTTATCTGAGTACACTGAAGCACAGAGAGATGATGCCCCCCAGATTCTCACTGAATGGAGCCTAGATCCCGGGTTCCCCTTTCACTGTGCACTGCAAGGCTCTGCTTAAAAAGCAAAGCTCATTTGCTCTTGTTACTGTCTGGAGACAAGAAGCCTCTGGCCGGTGTCCCAGCAAGAAAATGATCAGGACATTTGTGTGAAGCTTTTTGAGTTTCTAAAATTTGACACACCGTTTCTGTTCAATTATTGCTTAAACTATACATCTCCTAGTGTTTGTCTAGTGCCTGCCATCTTTGCTACTTTGTTAGGTGCTGTGAGGGGTTTAGAAAAGATTAAGACCCATCTCCTGCTGTCAAAGATCTGAGTGTGGGAGAAAGGACTAACAATGAGAGAACAATGGAAGGCAGTATGTGATTCAGAATAAAATGAGTAGTGCAGGCAATAACTGCTGTAGAAGTTCAGAGGAGGGAGAGAGCTCTGGGAGCTGGGGGTGGGGTGGGGAGAATGGGATTTCACTTGGGCTTTGAAGGATGGTCAGGGACGTTTATGCAAATGTGGGGGAGGGCACTGAATTTCAGAATTTGAGTGTGAATGTGCATGGATGCAGAACTGGGTAAAAATAATGGGTAGCATTTACTGAGTGCTTTCTATGTACCATATACTGCATAATGTTGTACATAATCCCGCTTACTTAAATATGCATAATCCTAGGAATTGGACAATCGATAATTAATAACCCTTCAATTAATAGATAGAAATCGAGGCACAGAGAGGTTGAGTCAATTGCCCAAGGTGACACAGCAAGTAAAAGACATAAATGGAACTAGAAATCAGGTCCTAAAAACACTTGGCTATTCTACCTATGAAAAAGAGGAATTTGTGGCTCAGGTGAGGAAATTGGCCCCGCTACAGTCATTAAAGATGGTCATTTTGGAAACACAAGGACTCTAGGCCAAATTCCCTAGAATTCAGCATGGAGATTGGAGGAAATAATGAAGCCATTTATTGTGTTGCTCTAACTTCTGTGAACCTAGAATAAAAGGCCAAAGTGAGGGGCAACAAGCATTTATTTGAGATCCAAGAGAACAGCTATTCCGGAAGCAATGATTCAGGCAGAGACCCAAGTCAGGAGGTGAAGGCAGGGGCATTTATGAGAAAGGGAAGGAAAGCATTACAGAAATAGAAGAAAGGAATTTCTAAAGGTGCACATAAGCTAACACAGTGATGCTAATCCTAAAGAACGTCTTTAATTTTCAGTCCCATCGTCACGTTGTCTGCTTTCTTGTTATCTTTGCAAACAGTTGTTTGGAATACAGTGCTGCTTCAGCCCCAGTCCGAAGGGTATTTCGCCCAGTTTTAACGTCCCAAAGGTGTGAGGAGGAAGATGTACAAGGCCGTTCCTCTGGGATGGAAGCTCCAAGTCCATGTTGAAGTGGCTCCGTTTATATTATTTTTTCCCACCTCATTCTTACTTCCTTGAAGATGGGAACTTGAGGTCTGCAGATGCTTCATGTCATTGCCAGGAGCTCCACAGCTTTATCCTTAATGTTTCTGGTTACGTTGCAGAGGATTTAACAAAACGCTGTAGGAGAATGAATGAGTGAGCCTCTGAATCAATTCTTGTCTGTGGCTGTTCTTTATTAGCACTTGAAGAACATCAGGCCTACTGTAGATGCTGTACAAAAGCTTGGAATTAGACAAGGCTACTTGGCTCTGAGGCTATAATTTGTCAGGAAAATCAGACTTGGAAAGGTTGGGAGGACAATGGCCTGATAATACAGTAGATTGTATTTTATATTGAGTCTGGCTTGCAGCCAACACCCGAAAGTGTTTCCTAGGCAAGGTGCCTAACTGTTTTTCTGGATCTTCTCCTAAGTCCTTGTGAGTATTCAGTAAACATTAAAGCAACATGAGGTAAATTTTAAGAAGGTCCTTTTCCTTTCTCCTTGTCCCAGGAACAGCAAACCACTCTATGGGTAGAAAGCAGCAGGGAAGAGGGAACCCTGTTTCCATCAGCTGCCCTTATCCAATTCTTGGGCCCCTCCACACCCACATTGTCCTGGCTGGCCTTTCAGCGGCAGGACTCTTGGCCAAGAGCAGGTTGCGAAGCAGCTGCTCCCTTGCAAAGAGGGAGGAGGGAAAGAGGCCGGGGAAGCTTCTTTTCCTGCGCCTTGTCTCCGATTGAGGGCCTGGTAGGAGAAAGGGGCCAAGGAGGGCCTGGAGAGGGCGTGGCACGGGTGGGCTGTGCGGCCTGGGTCAAGAGAGAAAAATACCAGACTGGAGCAGGAGCGGGAGGCGCAGGGGAGAAAGGAGGGGAATCCTCCGTCCTAGGCACTGAAGTGAGCAGTGGGGCTGTGGCTAGACAGGTGAGAGAAGCTGCCGTCCTGGTCCTGTATGGGTCTACAACTCCAGAGCAAGGCTTGCCCAGTTGCTCAGCACTAGACTTCGGCCGACGAGAACTTAGTGAAGGCCGGATAAGTTCCCCCCAGGTACCTAGTGTACAAAGAAGTGCCCTGGAGGTGGAGTCAGTCAAAAGGCTTCACAGAGGGGGCGCCTTCAGTACACGATGGGGAAGAAGGTGGATGTGCCCGCGTGCAGGCTCCAAAAGCGCAGAATACAAGGCAGGCCAGGGAGGAGGGGAAGGAGGCGGAGATTGAGCCCGGAGGAAGGAGAGGGAAGGGAGAGCCGAAAAGAGGCAGGCAGGGTGGGAGGTGTGACTGGGGGCGGCTGGCGGGGAGAGGGCGCCTGACGAGGGAAGGAGTCCAGGCGGGTAGTCGTGGCCCGCGGGCTGGGGAGGTCGCGAGGCTGAGCCGGACGGGAGGAGGCGAAGGCGGCGAGGGGGAGGACAGGGGGAGGAGAAGAAGGAGGAAGCAAGCGCCAACGGCTGCAGGGAGAGGAAGACCGGGAGGAGGAGCCGTGCGCAGTGGCAGTGGCGGCGGCGGCGGCGGCCGCCGGGGGAGCCGAGCGCCCGGGCGCAGGGAGCGCGGGAGCCGAGCGGTCGCCCGCGTCAGGGCCGCGGGCCCCCGGGTTGCTGGTGAGTGGAGCCAGGAGGGGCGCGGCGGCCGGTCCCCGGGGCCGGTCGGGAGGAGCGGGAAGATGCGGCGCTGGGGCGGAGGGAGGGCGCGAGCCGGCTGCAGCCCAGCCCCTGGCTGGCCCGGCCTCCCGCCCTCTGCCTCCCTCGTTCCCTCCCTCTCTGCCTGCCCGCTTCCTCCCGCCGCTGCCTGCCGGAGGGGGGCCGGAGGGGGGCCGGTCCCGGGCGGGCCGCGGGTTGGGGGAAGTGCTGCCTGGAGGGCGGGCGCCCGGAGCCGGGGGTGGAGCTGCGGGCTCGGGGTGTACCCGGGGGCGGGCGGCTGGACCCGGACGGCTCTAAATTGGCGGGAGGGGCTGGTCGGCGGCGAAGTTGCTAGCTGCGGGCAGAGACGGCCCTCGCGGTTGCAGGAGTAAGCGATCCCCTGTGGCGAGTGCGTGAGACGAGGAGTCCGGCGTCCCTGCCATCCCCGTCGCCCTCCCCGCCTGCTCGGCCCCGCTGGCTCCTCTCCTAGCTTCCGCGTGTCCCTTCGCTGTAAACCCGGTTGCCCCCCGTTTCGCTCCCGCGGCAGTGTCGGGTCTCCTCGGCCCTGACCCTCCCGGCCTCCGGCTTCCCCTGACCCCTGCTTGCTTCGCCATGGCCCCGGTTCCCCTTTTCTTCCCTCGCTAGTTACCCCTCCCTGCTTCGTAATCCCCGATGCAATTGCCTCTTTGAGACCTTTTTTTTTTTTCCTCTCCTTCCTTTTAGATTGGCCAACGGCTCGTTTCAACCCTGCCTCGTTGGTGGCCACTGGAGAAGCGCGGGGGGCTCCCCAGACAGCCGTGGGGACAAGTTAGAGCCAGCACTTTATCCCGGGCCTCGCGTGTAGCTCCCCCTCCCCTGCTCTCGGTGCCCCGGTGTCTGGAGGGGGGTGCAGGGGTGTGCCCTCCGTACATGTCCCTGCACCTGGGCAACCCTCCGGGCTTGTGTTCCATCTCGCTCTTGCTTCCTGCACAGTGGTCGAGGGGAACCACTTTGCAACATGTCCCGGTATAGCTACCAAAGTCTCCTGGACTGGCTCTATGGGGGCGTGGACCCCAGCTTTGCAGGCAATGGGGGCCCCGACTGTGCTGCCTTCCTCTCTTGGCAGCAGCGGCTGCTGGAAAGTGTGGTGGTCCTGACCCTGGCCCTGTTGGAGATCCTGGTGGCCCTGCGGCACATCCTGAGGCAGACGAAGGAGGACGGTAGGGGTGGCCATGGCTGCCAGCCAGAGCAGGTGACCCGGCGGCCCGAGGAAGGCAAGGAGAGCCTGAGCAAGAATCTGCTCTTAGTAGCCCTGTGCCTGACCTTCGGGGTGGAGGTGGGCTTTAAGTTCGCCACCAAGACCGTCATCTACCTGCTCAACCCCTGTCACCTGGTCACCATGATGCATGTGAGTCCGTTGACTTTTTCCTGGGCAGCCTCAGTGATAAGCCATTCGTGTGCTCAGGACACTCGGCAGTATAGAGCACCTCATCCCTGCGGGAAGTGGGACCCTAAAAAATGATTTTCCAACCAGCGGATGTTTTTGTGCAAATCTCCCTTTTGGCTTTCAGCTTTGCACAATGCATCAGCCTCACAGTGGAGGGGAGGAACATAGTGCCTGAGTCCTAGGAAAGACCCGCACTCAGGCTGGCTGCCCCTCCCCTCCCAGCCCTGCTCTGGCCCTTCACAAGCATTCCGGAAGTTCAACCCCATCCAGGTGCCCTATCAGAATCATATCTGGGGACCATGCTGGTCCAGCCCCCATACCCTCTGCCATAGTTAATTTCCCAGAGGCCTGGTGACACTTTCTTGGAGGTGGTCACATAAGGTCCCTCGTCTCCACTGTGGTACTCTGGGGAAAGACTTTTATGGTTTTTCTTAATTAGTCTTTCATTTGGGAGTTTATGATTCTTAGGGTACAGTCTGCCTTCGAATTCTGAGGGTTGGAGCAGCACCAAGCTCCTACTAAGTGCACTGTGAAACAGGCCCCCAGGCTGTCTCACTAACTTTGGGCTGGTGCTCTCTGTCCATGGTGAGAAGGTATTTATGTTTTGCAAACCTCTCTATCTTATCCCTCTTATTCTATCTCCTGTGGTCATAGTCCAGGGACACTCAGCTGAATTGTTTACGTCCCCCATTAGTAGTGCTCCCCCATTAGTAGTGCTAAGGAAAAAAAAAGGGATGAAAAAGGAAAATTGCTAGATACATAAAAATAATCTGGGTGAGTACCAAAAGTGAGACTGTCTTTCTGTACCCAGCCTATATGGAGAGATGTTCGAAAACTATAAAATCATGGAGGAAAAGGAAGAGGAGAAAGGGGAAAAAATATTTTAGAAATTTCAAGCTGTGGAAAACCTGATGTGTTTCATTCAGGGACAATTTTGAAACCTGTCATTAGCATCTTTGTTGCTTTTGTATTTGTAAAGGTTATTCTCAGGAGACTTGTTACAGCCCTGTGTAGGGCAGGAGGTTAAGATTATTATCTCCATTTTATAGGCCTGGCAGTGGCAATGGGGAGGTTGCTTGCCTGCAGTCAAAAGATGAATTAGCGTCTGGGTTGGAAAGCTAACCAACCCTCTTTGGGGTTGCAAGCTATCAGTGGAATGGCAGGGCAGTCTCTGTGGGGAGGGCGAGGCAGATTAGCATGGTGCTGCCTACATGTGGCTCGAATGCTTGCCAGCTCTGTGTTCTAGGAACTCTGATTGCAGATTCCTGGCCTCCGTTTCCCAATCTGTAAAATGGGAATGGCCTCAAGCCCTTCCCATTTTGCAGATGTGGCAAGGAAGTGTGGATAACTTTGGAATGAGGAGGCTGTTACTGATTGGGTGGCTTCCAGCACGGAGCAGGGCTGGAGGGGGCAGCATTTTTTTTTAAGGGAGGGCTTCTTGGGAAGTGATGCCATTCACAGGAAGCCCAGGGCTCTCCCAGCTAGACCTTCTGTGTAAATTTGAGCCAGTCCTTTTTCTTTCTTTTTTTATGAATGGGCTTTTTGTTAATGAGAGGAAACAACACGTCTCAGCCGTTGCTGCTGCGTGAGGCTGTTGGGACAGGAGTGCTTTTTTTGGATGGCAGGTGGTGAGGGTCAGAGGGTGCCTCTTCCACAAAGGGGTCTTGAGGCCTCTGGCAACCACATATCTAGAAGGTCAACAAAGGACTAAATTCAGCCTGACTGGGGCTGCTGCTGGTGTGATGACGTCAAACCTGGCAGCACCGTGGTTTTTAGTGGAAAGGTTTTTAGAGGCTTTTAGAAGACTCTGGAGGCTCAGTTCTGGCATTAATTGTGTAACTTTGGGGACAGTACTCTTCCTGGGCCTTAGTTTGCCCATCTGCAAAACAAGGCAGAGTTGTACTCCTAGCTCTTGACAGTCTATATTCGGTGATACTTTTATCTACTGGGTTGTCGGAAAAGTCATGATGTATTTTTTTCTGTGTTTTTCATTGCAAAAATGCATCATGGCTTTTCCAACAACCCTATATAAGCAGTGGCTGGGATGGAACAGAGAGCTATTCTAGAAATGCTTTGGGCCTCCTCAGGTGGAAAAAGGAAACTAGTTTCTTCTCTGCCAAGGTCAGGTGGCTTTGTTCATCTTTTCATTCTTGTTCATCTTTTGCTCCTTCTGTCTCCCCAGTAAAGTCAACCTGACCAGGTCACCCTTGGGGACACGTGTAGATGATGATGGCACTTACGGCTGGCTGCTGCAGAGAAATGGATATTTGGGGAACTGTGGACTGATTCCTGTTCACCTGTACATTTTCGATTGTCCTGTGCTTAGCGCAAACTCTGAACAGAGTCATGCTGAGGAATTCTTGAGCCCACCCAAGATTAGACTCCTTTACCCTTTATTGCTAAGTCACTGCTTTGTGTCTGGCCTGCTGGGGGATCTAGCCTTTGATGAAGCCAACATTCCACCCCTACCTATGGCTCTTCCTGGGATGCAGGAACATATGGATTTTAAAAAGTTGATCTGAGTCCTTGAAAAAAAATTCACAACAGATGGTTGGAAACAGTTTTCTGACTTGGTTGCAGCAATAACTAATGATAGTAAGTATGGTTAATGATACCTTACATTTATCTAGCACTTTAATATTTATTCTAAGGCCCTTTTACATACATTGTCTTATTTAGGGTTGTGATAAATTGGCTTCGGGCCTGGAGAAAGAGATGATCAAGTGTTCCCTGTGACTTTGTGTATTCCAAAGGGGAGAGTTTGAGTACAAAGAAATGCTTTGGCAAGTGAATTAGCTGAATTAGGCTATATTATGGCAATAAATTGTATGGAGTTCAGAGATTCTAATAAGGGAAGGCAGACATTAGCTGAAATGAAAGGGATAGCTTAGCAGAAACGTTTCTGATGTGTGTCTCGCAACAGGATGACTCAATTTTGGCTTTATAGAAAGGCCTTGCTCCTCAGAGTCAGTGTAAGTTTGTCTGTAACAAGGATAGTATTGCTTTCGGCCAGGAAATAGAAGAGTCGGAGGGAAATTGGGTAGTCTCCCCAGCTCCCATTTTTCAGTCTGTAAAGTATTTATTCCTAAGACCTTGTTACACAGACCCTCATCCTAGCCATGCTGCCAGCTTTCGAAGCAGAAGGAAGAGTACTTCTTGTGTTTGAGTTCTGTTCTTGATTAATATTCAGGCTGTCAGGTTTCTTTTTGGTCTTGTCTGATTGCTCAGAGGCCCTGGGGCTGTGGACTCACAGAGGTTTGTATGATTGAAGCAGCACCATCTCACATCTAAGCTCAAGCCGGAGATGCTTGAGGGTTCTTGGGATCAGTAAGCACCAAGATTAGCATGCCATCATTAAACTCCTTGCTGAATATCAGTGGTGTTTACCAGTTACACCAATAAGTATTTTTTAAAGCATGGCTAGTCCCCTTGTACATATTATTTGGGCAGGTGTGGGTGACAGGAAATAGAATTTACTGACTGATTATGCTGTTTACCAAAAATCACCCAGCCAAGTTACTGGCAGAGGTGGCTTAAGAAGTTAGCTGCCACAGTGGGATCTGGGCCTTTAGCAAGAAGAGATTCTCCTAGTTATTTAAGTCCTCCAATCTACATGTTCTCAGCAGAAGGGTTAAAATGCCAGATAATTTGACTGATTATATCTGTAAAGATTGGTGATCTTAACTGAAATGCCCATCAATAGATGATAGGATAAAGAAGTGATACATATATACAATGGAATATTACTTGGCCATAAAAAAAATGAAATTATTATCATGTGTGACAACATGGATGAACCTAGAGGGTATTATGCTAAGTGAAATAAGTCAGATAGAAAAAGACAAATACCATATGATCTCACTTATATGTGGGAGCAAAAGAATAAACGAAGCAAAACAAAACAAAAATAGACTCATAGATAAAGAGGACAAACTGATGGTTGCCAGAGGGTGGGAGGAAGTTGGGGAGCCGGCTGCAAAAAGGTGAAGGGATTAAGAAATACAAATTGGTAGTTACAAAATAGTCACAGGGATGTAAAGTACAACATAGGGAATATAGTCAATAATATTGTAAGAACTATATATAGTGTCAGATGGGTCCTAGACTTATCAGGGGGATCACCTCTTAATTATATAAATATCTAAGCACTACCCTGTACACCTGAAATTAATATAAAATAATATTGAATGCCAACTATAAAATAATATTCACGGGATATAAAGTACAGCATAGGGAATATAGTCAATAATGTAATAACTGTATAGTGTCAGATGGGTAATAGACTTATTGGAGTGATCACTTTGTGAGGTACGTAAATGTCTAATCTCTATGTTGTTTTGTACACCTGAAACAAAAAATCAAAACAAAAAACTCAGCACACATTTAAGAAAAAAAAATAGTGGCCTTTTATCTCCCTTGCATGCAGTTATATTGTCTCTGTCTTAGGAACTTGACACAAAGATTCCATTTTGAGTGTCTTGTCTAATTGTCCAATCCTGATGGTGTTGTATGTGTCTGTGCCAACATCTCCTGATTGGGCACTGAACTTAGTGAGGCACAACATATGCCATTTAACGCCTAACGTCCTATACACATAAGGCAGGCTGGATGCAGGTTGGACATTTGGCAAATAGTAATTAATGTTATCGTCCCAGAGCCCCACGCCACTAGTTTTTAGCCAGTAATACTGCGTTAGTCCCGTTCTTTTTTTAGAATTGCCATTTGCTATTTGATTTTCTGCCTTTTTACAATATATTAGAAGTCTGATTTCCACCAAATATGGCTTATCTGCTTTTGGTTCACTGTTTGATTTTCTTCCTCCCTCCTTGCTGAAAGTGTAGAATGGCACATATTAAAAACACTCCTGACCTTTTTGTGACACCTTTTGGAAATAACTGAATATACACCGGTGTGTTCCCTTTGCTCTGTGATGGATTTGCTTTAAAGGAAACTTGATGGAT